ACTTTTGTGATTGGTGTTCTTTGTCGTACCTTGCCTTGTTGCGCTGCTGGGTTTGCCTGGTTCGCTGAACCGCTGCTCTCTCCAGCTGGTCTCGCTCCTTCGTGGAAATTTGTTCTCCAGATCTGCCGAGAAACGCATCCAGAGGAGTTCTGGGCTCTCTACCATATATGACTTTGTAGGGTGGTATCTCCGTTGTCGAATGAGATGTTCTGTAGTTGAATAGGATTTCCGGTAGGCTTTCTTCCCAATCACCTAGATGGTTATTGAGCCATTCCTTCATTGTTCTGTTGAACCTTTCAGTCATTGCGTTGGCCGGCGGATGACAGGGGGGCGTTCTTGTTCGTTTGATGCTCCAGCGGTTTAAGGTCTCCCGAAAAATCTTGGATTCGAAACACGGTCCCTGGTCGGTAATGACATCTTCCGGGATGCCGAATCGTGCGACCACATTGTCTACAAATATCCGAGCAACCGCTTCCCCTGTTTGATCTGAGGTTGGTTTCCTACGAACCTTGATGCTCTCTGAATCTGCATGGTTCGAGCTTTAAGCAAGCGTAGGGTATGTGACTGAGATTTTTGATAGGTCATTATAGAGGACTAAATTAATTCCTAGTCGACAGTAAGCATGCAATTGTCAATTGCGTACTACCATAATCTACTGAAATGCGACCCTATGTGAACAAACAACTTGACAGACAGTTCAAATCAAATAGGAATAGTTGAAGAGTGCTAACCTTAGAGCATACGAAAAAGACTTCTAGCCAACTACTGCGATAGGAATGATTTCACTTATCCAACAGGGAGAGAGAGCTGACAAATCATGTTGGATTCAATGAAATCACCCTGTCTAGGTATGGTCATCAGCAAGTATTAGTCTTGGATGTAGATTTGTGAATTATCTTTTATCGTCAATACCAATTTCCAGACACTAGTCTGCGCATTGTTGTTCTGATGTGCGTCTCACTCCTTGTGAGTGAAACGGGATACAACGCACAATACTGAAGAGTCTCCAAAAGAGCGAAATATTGTTTCGCCGCTTCCTTTCGCGACCCCCGCGCCTTAGCTGTCTTATATAAACGAAAGATTGCTTTTCTTGGTGCTTCAGTATTTTTTTCGACATGCACACCATTCGATATTCGGTATTGGCAAACTTCTCGTTTGAAAAAGCAAAATAATATTGCACTAGAAAGATGTGCACGCACAGCGCACAATTCTTCTCGCCAGTAGTGATGATCATGCGTATGATTGATCTCAACAGCAAATCTTTTGTGCAATAATGATGAGTAAATGCCTTTGTGGATGAAACAAGAAGAGATCATCAGAACTGTTTGCCAGTAACTCATACTAATTATCACCGATTAACCTAGTGATGTACGATCGTAGGATCGCATAATGCGGAGCTCATGCGAAGGAAAAAATCAAGAATTCCAATGCCTTGTAAAGAAGGACAATACATTTCGAAGGGCGGGGAAGATGATTCGGTGACTAATCGAGATCGTTAATTCAGGATGTAAAATTCCCTTAATTTCGTTCCTAGGTGGTAAAAAATCAAATTACCAGTAAATTACAAAACCGTTCGGAGTAACATAAGATACCGGACTAGCGTCTAGCTACACACTAGTGGTGCATCAAACTTCAACGATGAATTTTATTACGATATGAAGCCGGATATAAATATACATTAAAAAACCCAATGACTGTAGAATACCTGTGTCCCAGCTTCAATTAATCTGAAACAAGTATCAGTTTTGGTTAACGTCATCCAGGGAACCGAAGTACTTATGGGTGTAGTAATTGCTGGTTAAGGACTCGTTTTTCTGGATCGATCCCTGAACGCAAGCACCCAATACAACGAATGGAATGTGGACGAGATCACACTTTGTTGATTGATCTGGACAAATAGTGGTTCGCTGTGAGCAAAGTTCAAGCTATTTGGATATTTTTCAGTTCGCGGCAAGTGTTTGCTCCGGCTGTTTACTGCTTGATAATGACTACCAGTCAAAATAAACAGGAGGCGAAATCAACTGTGCTTGGTGAATATCAAGTTATTGGCAACGTTATGTCGAGCGGTTTTCGCACAAAGGACTGAGGATAGCCCCGAGTGGGGAACTGTTCACGATTCTGATGATACAACGAGATTGAATACGGAAAGCGTAGATAGAAAAATAAATACTTACCCCATTTGACTGTCTGGCCGCAATGCCAAAACAGCACGGGAGTTCGTTACCGATCATCCGTTCGAGAAAACAACCGGCGAACGATAATTCCGAATCCACAAACGAAGCGGATCGAGAAAGATAGTGTTCCGGTGGTTTTGCTGCCAATGCCTTCGGGGTTTCGGTGGACACGGTTCGCGAAACACAGTTGAGTCCGTTTGTTTGGGTATTGTCCGATTTCTGTGTACTGGGCATATCCCGTGGAACAGGATCGGGACCGTGCCAGGANTGCCAGGAGAAAGTGATGCACACTTCGATTGGTTGTGCACCTAGATTGAGCACTTGCCAGAGAAAAACGCAAGCCGGCAAACAAGTGGTTTGATAGTCGTGTGGTAATACCGGAGAAATCTGTATTGATCAAAGAAGGAGAAAAATTCGTCAATAGATTAACGTTTTTAGGCCTCTAAAAATCGTACAGCAGCATATCCAAAGAAAGCACTCAAAATTACTCAAGAAATATAGGCATGGTGTGCTATGTACTGAAGTGACAACAAGGCCAGATGAGATTCCCGTGCTTAGTTGACTCCAAAACGCAGTGATAAGCAGTTTTGTCATTGCCCAGCTGAATTCCACGCCTATGCTATTGGGGCCTTATATAGACTCCGACTCGGTGTTCCACGGCTTAGGCCGAACAGTAAATTGTCGTGTTTGTGCGGCTTAATCTTTCTACCATCCATAATAGAAAACAGTGCACTAAAGACGAAAGGCGCTTTTTACCCGTTTGGCGTAAAACTACGTAATAGTTCGTTAATGATATACATCTACTTCAAAGGTGTCAGATACTTTGCTGTGGACAAATCACTTCATCCCATAAAAGTAAAAACATGCTGTTGGATGTCATGGTGTTTATTATGCTCAAGCGTCTTATAGACAGATAATTGAGGTTTTTCTCGCACAAGGTCGGGGAAGATACGCATATCATTACTAAAAAAATCTACTATTCACTAGTAGTAATCGTAAACCGTGTGATGAAAAATGTATCCTTTAGAGCGGGATTTGTTTACGAACACATACGTTCGCACTGGGTGAACTGTACGTTGGTCAATAATCCTTTTTCTCCTCATCGGCTATTTATTGTGTTAACCAAAGTGTCATGTCTACCATCAATTTTGAGATACAAACTTTGTATGTGCCGTTTTCTATTACTAATTTGCCTAAGATATCCATATCGAGACCTAATGTGGGCACATTCTCGTAACCTTTGAGCACAGTGAATCAATTCTGAATCACATTGAGATTGAGGTTATTAGGTTTTGATAGTATAAATTCTACCTTAAAATTCTCTATTTGACGAATTTCTGTAAGTGACTACCTTGTCTCGGTTAAAAATGTCACCATTGTTTGGTTCAGTCTGCTGATGAGAGTCGAATAGTAACAGAAACACCTGCACTATTGGAAATTTGTCTTAACCTTGGTTTATGAAATGTCCCCAAGTCTGTAAAAATTTTCTCCTAGTTTATTATGTACATTGTGACGGTTGGCGTGTATGACTTTTTTAAAACTGAAATATGAGCTCCAGTGGTTGCAAAAGTTATACACAATACAATACAATACACTGTAAACATATTAGGAAGGAAATTTTGAGATCTCTTTGATTCATTCCAGTAGTCTGAATAGGGGAATGTGGTGTTTCAGAATGACCCCATTATCCATTTGGTTTAATTGAACAGAACACAATGACATGTATTGATTTCCACAGATACAGGTGCAGACCCGATCCGGAAAATGAAACTCGTTTCTGACAATATGGTACTAGATGTCAAATTAATCCACGCAAACGTTGCAGCAAGAGTGTAGATGCCAGATGACAGAGCCCGATAAACATGATCGATGGCTGCTCAGAATAGTATGTATGGTAGATCATAAGAGATATTTGTGATTTTGCACCATATAATCACATGTACACTTTTCGCCTAATTGGCGAAAATTGATTGACATTTGATCGTGTTCCACATAACAAAAAAAACTGCAGAGCTACCTGGAGTAAAAAAACATTCAGCGTCCCCAATACAAATCATCATCATCATTGTACAGCGTAATACAGCGAAGCGAACTTCACTGATCGCTTCCAAACTCATATTGCATACAAGGTAAGTGATAATGTGTAAGGAGGGCAGGGATTGTACAATTTTTATTTTGAGTATGCATTGGGGTTTGGTGGACGGGTACTGCTAGGGTGTCCAGCCACTAAGCAGAAGAACGATTAGGGTTCTCGTCCAAAGCCTTTAGTTCTAACAAGAACCTAACCGCAAGGCAGCGGGTGAGGCGAAGTGGAGGCCCATTTACTTGGATCAATTACTCTTCCATCGCTTTTTATCGACTGCAACGCCAAATTCCAAGCGAACCCCCAACCTGGAGGACCACAAGACTGAACTTCGTCTGACCTCTACTCATTGACCTTCCAGGCATGATAAGATCTCCTGGCTTTATAAAGCCATCCTGTGTAACTCGTTGGGTCAGAGAGGTGCACAAGCCATCACACCACGTCAAGGTGTAGTCTCGTGGTGACAAACTACAAACTAGTTCACCAGACTGGAAAATTTCCTTTCCTCATGTTGCCGAAAGGATGAATACGTATTTTTGATTGGGGCTGATCTAACTTATCTAGATAAAGTCAGACCATGTTAATTCTTATATTCTCCGTTTCGATTCATATATATACATATATATAATAATATAATATATAATATAACCATGATTGGATGATGAAGCATTCGTTTACTTTGGATTTTGAAGGCACCAGTAGTCCCTGTAGGATTCGAATCCATACATGAACGCTGCTTATGCTTTTGTGCAGCGTGCAATCTAGCGACTGGGTTGTGATAGCTTATCGATAGCACAAACTTGTTTTCACATTCAGCTCACCCACCCAGCATGCCTACCAGTTCGCGGATTCACTTATCTACCAAACAACATATTTTGTTACCATCTTAAACCGTATGTAATTTTATTGTTTTTTTTCTCCATGTTATTCATGTGTCGGGGAGAAAGTCGAAGGCGTTGACAGCAAACGTTTGCAGCATTCACTATGCTGGCTTAGACTGCGCGCCTTAAGAAGTGTTGATGGCTACACATGGTCACGTAAACTACAGATATTTTGCGGCCATTGTATTCTATATTCCAGATTACTGAGATTAGACTTTGAATAGTGACCAAAGCGATCTACACGATCCAATCGGGATTGCTATTCACAACATTTCTCAACTCAGTTTAATTATGAACCGAGATCTCGTAAAAATGGATCAGAAGAATTCAATGCGAAACAGTGCACATCATACCTGCTGACAGACGAGAATAAGCTGATATTGCGGAAGCTCATAGATAGTCCAAGCTCGAGGATAAAGACCAATGTAGTGCGCGCTCTCAGCCGGAAACCCCCAAGTCCAGTCCCGTAATCCATTCACATTGCTAGGCATAGCTGATTTCGGAGAAAGCACTTGTTGGTACAGGGTGCGTCCGTTTCGCCGCAATGTGAGAATGAACTATTGACAAATTAAAAAAACAGGATTACGATGTAGATTACGAGTGCACGTGCAAACAAAGTAGAATCGATAAAGATTTACATTTTATATAAAACATTCAGACGGTGATTTATTTCAGCTCCCATTAGATGACTAATTTATCTAACTGGGATTGAAACTTGTCACCTGGGTGCTAACCGAATCATATATCGGATTGCAGACTTCGCCAAATATTCAACTTATGGGCACGCTTGATGTGCGGATAACAGGTGAAGATTTGAAAAAGTGACAATCATCATACCAAGGGCGTAGCCCGGCTAATGAGTGGCAAAATCTCGATCGGCACTAGAGAGACAGAGAGAAAAAAACAAGTAAAGGGTTCTGGTTTGGCGTGATTTTCATGCCCGAGTGGCATGTGTACGGAAAGGCCTGGGATTCACACGTTTCAACGTCAAACAACTGAGCTGAACATGGAGGACGACATTGATGTTTCATCATTGGAACACTCGAAAACCGCGGTGTAGAGACAAATACCTGTGATTGGATGGCACAGATTGTCGCACATTTTTTGGTACACTCGACGCTTACTGTACAATGTACTACAGCTCACAGATCACGAGATTATTGCACCAAAACTTTTAACTCCATCCGTGATAAAATGTCTCCTAATTTTTCACCCAAATAAACAAAAGCATAAAATAATGATGGAACTGGTTGTAATAGTTATATTTAACAGTAAAAATAACTTTTTGGTTGACTAGACAAGAATAAACTAAACAAATTGGAATCAAAGATTGTTTATCATCTCTGACTACAGGATATGGAACAAGAGGCAGTCGCTCAACGAAGGCATTCAATAATTCAGAAGCCTCAACCTTCAGAGTCAATATGATAAGTGTAGCCCGATCTGTATAGCCAGCCATCTGTTCCCATACCAATTCACTCCAGCAATACAAGAAGGTATATGTAGACAGAATTGATATTGGCCATCAATTTTGCTTGCTCTCATTCAGAGAACCTTGCAGACTACTTGAAAGAATTGGCACCCTGTAAAACTGAATCAAGAAGTTGGATCAAAGCTAGACTTGTAGATTTTGCTCACCAGTTCCGTGTTACCAAAACGTGTCATCATACCTAACTGACACGAAACAAATCAATTTGGCCTATGAAGCCCGAAAAAGATCAGGAACAGTCATTCTTAATAAGAAAGATAAAGTCAAAGAGAGAGAAGAAATACTGATGGATTTTAGCCGTTTTCAACTAGAGCCTAAAGCAGAAGACAAAACTGAAAGTTTAGAAAAGACTATCTATGCTATGCTAAAGAGACTCTGGAAGAAAGTTGTAATTGATATAAACTCATTCAACGAACTGAGACCTCGAAGTTCACACATAAAGAATGTACCGATCGCCAAAATTGCACAAAACGGGAATCCCATTACGACCAAGCTTAACGACGGTTAGCTTTCCTCAACACAAACTTGCACAATGGTTGGTGAGGCTCAGTACCCCAAGATTGCCAGACTACGTTCAGACTGACGGATAAATTTCAATCAAAACAAGTAATATCAAACGTAGATTACCGCAGTTGTTTCNNTTTCGTTGTCTCGTATGCTATTATGTCATTGCTTACGAATGTCCCGGTAGAGCAAGCCGTGAACGAAATATGGGAATATGCCAGTGAAGTAGGATACCTAGAAAGTGATTTGAATGCCGTGCTGAATTTATGTTCGCGACATACAATTCACCTTCCAAAAAATATCTATAAGTAGATTAATGGTGTAGCTATGATAGGCCCGTTGGGGTCAATTCTGGTTGACATCTTCCTGTCAGCATTNGGAAGAGGAACTAAATTCGACCTAACCATATCGATGATTTGTTGATGATACAATCGTTATTGCACGGAAAAATAAAGAAAGTAAGAAATTATCTCACAAGTTGAACTCGCAGCATCTCAATACAAAGCTGACACCAGAATGTGAATTAGAGTCTATACTTCCAATGAGTGGTGCACTTAATCGATTGTCACATTGGCAGCTTGAAATATACATATATCGAAATAATACGTGAAGAGGACAGTATCTGCACTGTAGGAGTTTACGTTCTATGGGATAGAAACGTGGTCTCATGCGCACTCTCTTTCACAGAGTACACCAACTATGCAGTACGCAAGTCCTGTCAGATGAACTAGACCGATGGATGCATTCGTTTCAATGTAATTGCGGTCGGCGGTACATGGACAATACAGAACATTGTTTAGCAACCTTTTGGTGGTAGATAGCGTTGCTATCGCCCGGCTCTATACCACGCCAGAGCTACCGGGGTCTTATGTGGTAATGAGTAAATCCCTTATGATTTGGTAATTAAGATTGTGCGAGATTCATCAGTTCATATTCCTGAGCTTACAGCATTGCCTCTTCTACCCACGACTAGGGGTTCTACTCTATCCATCACTTAGTTGATTGTAAGGGGCATTAAGAGAATGCCTCAACAAAAACACAGGAAAACTTCAATTCTTACCAAAGCCTAGAAACAGAAACAATAGTGTACTAATAGTTACGAGAAGTTACTTTCCTTTGAAATTATAAACAATGGCTCATGTTCAAATAAATAACGTCTGTACTATTAACGCATTTGCCGGCAATGGTTCGCGTTCGAACTCCGCTACTGTTGGACCAATTCGGTTTCGGAGAATTCATGTTGTCCCAATCAATTACATTTTATATTCTTCCCGTTGCTCATGCAACTTCTCAGAACAATTTCCGGAGTTTCATTGACGGTTAAGACTAGTAAGAAGCAGATGGTTGCAACAATGTGGCTCCTCGCTCTTAATCTACAGCACAATGCTTTGCGTAACAGAAAAAACCTTGAAGAATGGTTGAGTCACGCTTCTGCTCTAAAAACAGAAAGGTGATTTAGAAATTAAATGGCTTTGCTTGACTTCGACCAAACTTAAAGTAAATACAGCATTAGAGTGGAAACCTACAAGTAATCAGAATGAATTTCAAGGTAAAATGCACCATTGGTACCGGGATGTCGAAAATCGTTAAAAGCTCTCGCCTTTTAGGGTGTGGTCACATCATAGCATACCTGATCGGCAGGCTGTGGGTCGTAGGAATAAATTCCGGGAATGAGGCTCGAGCGCACGAATTCTCCACGAAATCCTCTACCTATAGCGCCTGATCCGATACCACCCATGGGTACCCCATAGATCGGTGACCATGGAACATGTCTGGACGGATCCAGAAACGGAAGCCGACGCTCAAGGAACCGTTTCCGTAGGTAAAAATTGAATGTGTATCTGAGGCAAAAACAATAACTTCGGTTCAAATAGATGAAATACATACTTGCGACCAAGGTTTTCTAACAAAACGGTATGTCAGTGTTCTGAAGTTAGAATGGCATCCAACAAAAATAGAAATTTGTGATACTTCAAAGCGTAGAAATTAATCACAAAAATTAAAATATGAGGTTGTTTCATTGGTTGGGATAAAACAAGGAACACATGCCAACTAAAGACATGATAGGCCGACTAAAACTGTTCACAGCTGAATAACATGAAAACCGGAATCACCATGAAGTTTACCTTACAGCCATTGACACAATTTCACGTATTTGAGAAAGCCTTGGGATCGTAAATGGTCGACAGGTAAATTCCGGTTGATGATCGAATCGAACTTTCCAACCATATCGAGGTATCAGTTCTAGTCTCTCGAGCAATTCATGAGCCGTTTCTTCACTTTCAACATTCATGTTTGAATTGTTTTAAAAGTAACCAAGTCAGCAATCTTTGAACGATTCAGAGCGCAAATAATTGCCCTTCAATTATTGCGCATGACCGAAGTCCTAGTTTAACCGAAGGACACTGAAATCAAAGCATGAACATGAGAAAAATTACACCTTTAGAAAGCAAACGAGTGGTCTAATTGAATGACATGAAAACCTTTCACTAATCCAGATAGAAATATACAAATATGGATCCCGATTTAGAGGTTATACAAAAATTCAAAAACGATCAACAGTTGTCATGCATTTAAAATTTCTGACTTAACTGGTTGACTACTAGGTAAGAATAGATCAGTTTCGTGGGGATCTATGATCGGCAGCTGCAATACCACTTTCTGAGCCAAAAATTGTTATCATACTTTATTGTTTTAATTTCAGTTCGGATTTTCCTATGCATATAAGTTTTCAATTACACATTAGTGTGATGAACAGCAGATGGGGCGAATATCAGAGTAACGAAAACCCATTCGGATATGGAAACCGGTAACCAATGCCTCGGGACTTCGAGTGGCGAACCACATAAGGCTCCATCAAGCAGCTTTCCAGTTCGTTCAGTTTCTTACATTGATAGGCTAGAATGCCCCCGCCGTGTCCCAGAAAAGCGAAAATAGGATGGTATAGACATGAAACATTTTTATTACACACGAAATGATTTACAGTAAAAGGGGTGAAACCCAGAGTATAACAACTAGAATAGCACTCTTAGCAAGATTGACTCAATTTGAGGAAGCTATCCTGAAGGATGCTTATTGCTTATTGGACCCCGTGGGAGACAAACACTAAACCTTGTGGTGAAAAAAAGTCTAGTGAAGCTAATATCGGTGTGAATAAAAGCAAAGAACATAAAATTGATAAAACAATGAGAAGTGTATGAATTAAAAGAACGATAATGGGGGAGACAGGCCTCGGTAGCGTAGCACGTAAAACGTTTACGGCGAAAATTATATTCAACTGGGGCAACTGAATTAAAATTATCAGAAGTCCTATTACACAACACAGCCATGAAGACTTACTGATAACCAGATAACTGAGGGGTGAAATAACAGTGATCGACTTCTTCAGTTCAGCACAGACCATCATCTGTTCCTATCAAGCACCAACTTCCAACACAGCTCTCGACGGACGGCAACGTGGCGCTCCAGTTCAACTGGTACGCTAACTCAAATCGACCACATAGCAGTCAGTTATCGTTGGCGTGGTTCAGTGCAAAATTGCAGGTCCTATTGGACTACCTAACCACGCATTAGTACTGATG